TAATGTTATGTAATTCCTCTGTGGTTTTCACAAGAGAACCTGTCACCTTTCTTGTAAATCGGTGTGATCACCGATTCACACCGCTCAGTTGGAACCTGTTCGCTCCCCCACACTGAGCCCAGGGTTTTTTTAACTCTGAGATTAAAGCTGTGCCTTCACCCTTAAAAGCCGATAAGGTCAGCCCGTCTGGGCCGGGGGCCTTATGCTTTTTTAGACAACTTATTTCTCGGGAAACCTCCATTTCAGGTGGAGGACCGGCATCAACTAGGAGTATTTACGCAGTCGCGGTGGAGGGTGATAGTTCAGATGTCGACGGGGGACATTTGAACTGAGCCTAATGGTCAAGACAGCGTTGCTGATTGTGAATCAGTGTGCCATCGGGTTCCTTAATTACCTCACGCCTATTTTCCTAGGGCCCGTATTCCTAATTAGACGAGAAAGATTGCAACTATTACTAATAGTCGCAGCTTTCTCCATCTCTTTACACTTTTCTATCCTTCACTTCTCGCTGTCATTCCTCAGACTCTTGATGAGCTGGCGTTTGAGGAATTTGCGCGCTATGTCATACGCGGCATCGGATGAAAGGGTTCTGCGAGCTTCCAGCTAGGCAGCCGAGGTCGGCGATATCCATCGTTTGTGTTCTGAGCTTGCGGCAGGGCCTGTTGTTTTTATTGATACTTGCATAGCTTCCTTGATTTGCTCCCAGTGTTCATTGAGTCCTTTGGTTGGTGATTGAGCTGATGGGCGATCCGAGAGTTCCGCTTCGAGGGCCGATTTGCAGCAATCGCTGACGCTTTATCGTGGGTATCCGTTGTCGGTAGCTTTCTTTCATTTGTTGGAACGGAATAATGATACACGACTCAAGGCTGTCTGGGCTGGAACAACGGAGAGTGTGTACCTGTATCCAACTCGCGGGGCGCACCGAAACAACTACATCAATCGCCGCGGGTTGTTGACAACTTTTGGCCCCTACTCACATCAGGATATTTGGAAGAATTCGACGAAAGGTCTCTGATCACAAGAAAGCTCTTACTTACATGGTGCTTCATTACGGGTAACAAATGCATCAAACCTTCAGTGGTCATTCAGCTTGGGTGTGAGTGTTCGGGGTGTACAACAACCGTTATTAACTACACTCAACTTACAATTCAAAAACAAGTATCATGGATACCAGTTTTACGGACAGGGATGGTCTCAGTTGACAATACTCGAAAGAAATCAAAAGTCTGAGTACAACGTCAAAATCTTGAATGAATGTCCTCTAGCGACTCCAGAAAGTCGATTGAGAACCACGATTGCGCAACAAAATACTGCCTCTATACCTAAAACCCACTTTACTACATTGTGGTTATTGTATCCGAACAGGAAGATCATAAACTGGCCAGCCCATAGCCCGTAATTGAATCGTCATGAAAATATCCGGGGTCTATTCATGAGGGAGGTTTACGCTCAAGGAGAGGTATTTCACACCGTCCATAAATTCAACATACTTATGGTTTGTGAATGTTGCAGTTTCAAAGTGCAAATGGTTCAAAACGTGATTATGAGTATGCCCGCACACACTGTGTTTCAGTTATGGATAATAATAGTAATAATAATAATAATAATAATAATAATAATAAAGGTCGGTGTGTTTTCGTTATTATTCAGGGTTCGGATCACAATTATTTTGCACCCCCGGGGACGCAATATACAGGCGTTGATCAAACTCGTGCAACATCATTCTCATTTTGGAAATACATTACAGTTTCCAATGTCATACTTGTATATTAATGGTTATGGGTAAAGTGTTTTAATTCCTGATTCTATCTCCCTTATCTAGGTCTTTAGTTCTCTTCTATCACCGGTTGAATTTGCGCGATAAAATTTGTAGTAGTTCGAAAGTTACAGCTGAGCAAAGCAACATGGAATTTCATTCTATCTAATGAACAATTCTTGTTTCATGTAGGTGTTTATTCTGGCCCAGTGGTTTAGTCGCCATCACCGACGTGCTTTGGACTCTGTGGTCCGAGGTTCGAGCTCCGGCACCACCAACCAACTTTGGTGGTAGGCACCCTTGCTATCGCCCGGTTTAATACCACGCCTGAACTAGCGGGGCCTTGTGTGTTTCGCCACTCCAAGTCCTGGGGTTTAGGTTAACGGTTTTCATGATTGAACAGCAGGTCTTCGTGACAATGGGGTCTACCCCGTCTGCTGTTCATCACGCTAAAGTATGTAGTGAATAAAGCTTATCTCTTTTGATTCAGTGTACAGCAAATGAGCCGGTTAATTAAAATTTTCTAGCTTGAATAAATTGATAAATTATTTGGCTAAAAATTCACGCATTATCTATAATACTGAAAATACTGTATATATATATATATATAATCTAACAGCTGAATTCCGTCAACTGGTCGCCTAATGACTGATTGCAACCGACCTTTCACGCAATGATTACTGCTAAAATAATACCCGCTGCCATTTCGTTTTGAGTGAGTTTGTGTGTTCTATCTGAAGTACTTAAACTCATTTGTGTTGTCCATTGATTTCTTCCGTTCCAGTTCCCCTTCAGAACATGAAGTCTACCGCGTTCCAATGGCACAGGCTACTGACCCGGATTTAATGGACGATACATTAGCTTCCACCTATCATTCTACTCAGCTACCGATACTGAATGATGATGTTAATCTGGATAGCGATGCCGCCTCAGATATTGCAGATGATCTGGTTGAACGCATTTTGCAGAAACGAAAGAAATCGATTCCGACCGATTCCACCGAGAGAAATCAATCAGAAGCGGATGTGCAGGACAACAAAACACCGACCACCGCAGCGGTTAAACAACCGAAATCTATCATCAAACCAGGAAAAAAAGAGCACAAAAAGACAAAGAAAAAGGCAGAAGTTCGCTTTAATCTTTCAGATCAAACCGGCGATGATGAAGATAATGATCAGACTAAGGTGATTACAGTTGCCCCTTCCTCGCCAACATTGTTCTTGATCACGTGGCTGCATCAGTATTTCCGAAACCTCAAAGTGGTCATATTCTAAAAGGCTCCGATCGATCACTATTTTCACCACTGATTTTAAGCTACTAACCAATCTATAGTGGAGATTTGTTATCCTTAATTACTTGGTGTATCTGCCTTAGTTAAAAAAGGAAGATATCGACTTGAAACATTTAACATCTGCCGATTTTGGGGTCTCGGAAATATTGATGCACCGGCACAGTGATTATGAGGACAGTTAAATTGTTTTGAACAATCTCCATAATCAAAACCTCTCAATTGCCATTTTCATACAGTGATCACCAAATCAGAAAATGGTACTATTTTCTACAGCAGAGTGCACAGAATAGATTGATGACGAATTCATCCAGTTGAGTTATACGCTGCTCTGGATAGTTCTAGTACCAGCGTTTTGCACAAAACTGGGTTTCTCCAGCACCCAGAGTCACCTACTGGGGAAGTAACAGAGCGAATGGACAAGTTTTGTTATTTGGGTAGCTACATCTCATCCGGTATCACGTATCACGGATGAAGTGTCAGCTCACATACAGAAGGCTCACTTGGCATTTGCCAGCTTGAGACGTCTGTTGCGCTGTCGCGACATCCAGCTGTCCATTAAGGGTCTAGTGTGTGTTGCGTCAGTACGGCCACTTCTGCCATAAAGCGCAGAAACTTGGCTATTAAGAAAACCGGAGGTAGACTGTCAGTATTCAAACACCGCTGTCTACGCAGCATTGCATGAATACGATGGGGTAACCGGCAAGGAATGTTAAGGTTAGGCGCAGAGTTCTAGGTAACTGCGGTCGCCCACTGAAGCAAGCGGTCAACATCCATAGATTCTTTTGGTTGGGGCATGTGTTTCGCAGGTCACCAAATAGGTTTCCATGGCACGCGACGTTTGTGGAGGAAGGTAACGGACAGATAAAAGCTACAAATAGTCAAAATAAGACGTGGCACGAGGGTATGAAAACCCTAACCAGGAGACTCGGCCATATTGGTCGCTTTAGGCTCCCTGGATGGGAACCTCGAGATCGTGGTGACCGGTAGTTAGATATACTGAGTGAGATGGCTGTGTTGTGAAGAGTGGCGTTCGTGCATCTTGTCAATTTTTCTGCAAAATTAGTTCACTGAAAATCTCCATTTTCTCTTCGACTCTATTTTCGACTTTCTTGTCCTTCTACTATTCACCCAAATGGGCAGTCAAAGAACAGCATCCAAAATCGGTGCACGAAAGTGCATGGTTAATGGTTTTACAGACTGAAACTGTGGACGAATTCACCCAAAGTTCGAGAAACCCATGGAGACTGCTTTACTGATAGTACCAATTCTTTAAACTCTATTGAGTATCCGCCTTCTGTTTGCCACGTATACGTCAAATTACGCAATCCATGCACACCACTGATTAATGTTTTTCCCACCTGCTGTGCTGTGCTGCTGTTTCCGACTTAGCTTTCAAAGTTGTCTTAAATAAAGCAAGTGAACTGTATCCTCCCGGAATTTTGATAAACTCAGAGGTTGTCATTTGATTGAGATAAGAACTGCAAGCGAACAACTCTTGAACGTGGATTCTGAGGGTTTGATCGGAGGATCCCTGTGGTTTTGTACCGTGTGTGTTCTTACCATTCTCATGTTCTGTGATCTGCTGAATTTTCACCTATCTTTAAATGCGAGTTCGTTTGATTCTGAATGCTAAATGTTATGCATCTTGTCCTTACAAAATAAAATGGAAAAGATTGACTCACCCTGTAATTGTGACCTGCATTTCGTCCCTACTCATGCCATTATGTCCAATTCTGCATGACCGTCTTGTCATTTCTGTGCAGCAGTTATAATTTATGAAATGACGTGCTACCTACTGTTATTTAGTGAGTAGTCCACGTGGACACAGCAATGTTACAATGTTTTCAGATGAAACATCGGAGTGGCGAACAAGCTCGTTTTCAGAGATTCGCATTCATGCCGATATATCTCAATGTATAGCACTACTTGAGAATAAAATTGTCTTAAGAATATGAAATGAAATAAAGTCGCAGATTACTAGAAACGATTTCATCATGAGACCAGAAAGCGGGATGACCACGATCACATATTTGTTTACCCACTCATCCGATCATCGAGATTACTGGTGCTACGGTATGGGATGTGGGGTGAGCTATGGAAGCTTTAGTGTTTGCACAAGTTGTTTTTGGGCACATAGAGGGGGTTGTGCAGTCGAATGCCCACAGCTTCTGCTGTAGCCAGCATCCGACAGTGAACCTGTCTCGATAATCGCCCACGAACTTTATATAGGGGTCGGAAAGCCTCGAACACGTCCACAATGTTTCAGCTAGGTGTGAAACCATTGCACTGGTGAGCGACTTACTCGTTCCGGCGTTCAGCCACTTTTTGTCATTTCATCGCGGCATTCAATGGGTTTGACTTTGATCGTCCAGTTTCTCCATCATATCTATTTTGCTGTTTCACGTTCTAACGGTATACTCATGATTTTTGACTTGACTGGTACTCACGTAGATTGTAATTATATCGGTACACGTGATGATCAAGCGCCATGTGCGTGACTGCGAAATCGACTGTTCTGTCTCCTTACAAACGGAGTAAGCCCTGAAAGTGCACAGTTTTAACGATAAGTTGTATTCTCGCATTGCAACCCTAATCTCTGTTCTCACTGTTTGGTGTGTGGTGCTCTCTATATTCGATTGCCACAGCCCACAAAACGAGCTAAGCGGGAACTGGCGATTCCGCCGGAACAGATCAGTCCACAATCGGTGGACTTGGACGAGGACGACGAGAACCCACTCGGATCGGATGATGTTGGGATCAAACGACGAGTGAGTTCCTTTTTTTCTTTTTCTGTTCCCCAGTTTCGTACCGTGTTACGAGACTGCAGGCGGTTTACACAAAATCCAGTCTGTTTGATAAACGCGATCAGGAAGAAATCCTATCCTGTCAGAAACTTTCTTCAATTCGCATCACCATGCGCAGGAACCGAGAGGAATTGTGAGCAACTTTTTGGTCGGATTGCACTGCACACATGGTTTAGCAGAAACTATGAAATACGTAACCACATTGTTTATTGACGTCGATTGACGAAGGAACTAAACCACCATTGATAACGTATTGACAGGATCTTGCGACCGCTCCTGAACACCAAAGCAATAACTCGGGTAAACTCTGTTCGAAGCCGTGTATGCGAGTGATCTTGGTTTTTCAATTAGTGAAAGCTATGAGCGGACGAAGACGAACTGGTCACACCATCCGTATCAGTTGATTATTATTATCAGAAGAATGAAAACAATATTGAAAAAGCACTTATGATCATTTATAATATATATTGCAACATGTTGGGCACCAATGATGCGAGGATGATGGTACTCAGAGTATGGCATTCAGCGGATTGACACGTGACTTTCAAATCTAATGACATTTATTTACTTTGTCCCCAGCTATTCCACTTTTGCTCTTTTAGTAATCGTCTAGGAAGATCTGGTATCTGTTGTGTCTGCCTATCATTTCAGACATACTCTAACCGTAGTGCGTTTCTGTATATTTAATCCATCGAAATTGTCCCCCACAGCTGTAGAATAACTAAAACAATTTTTATCATGTGNATGAACTTGTCTGTGTTCAGCAGGTCTTCGGGGTCCACCCCGTCTGCTGTTCATCACACAAGTGTCGGTGCGATTTAAAAGGACGGTTCGAGCAGCTCTTTGTCGGCTGTTGAAAATCAGGCTTTTCCAGTTCCTCATAAAGAGCCTATTGTCATCGACTCATCAAAGGGACATCAATCCCAGAATCTGTCTATTGCTCATCGTATTTCGACGTAAGTACTCTCAGTGTGTTAAACTTCCCCAGTCA